GTAGCCATTATGCTAACTGCTGGTCCCTTTTTTTTTTTTTCTTTTTGAGAGCTTTTTGCTATAGGGAGCGTGCAATTGCCAGAGAGTGACAGAGAGACAGAAAGTGAGAAATAACCCCTCAGGGAGGATGGCCACACTGCCATCCCTTTTCCTCCATTCTCCTCTCTGTATTTTGGGCATGCATGCACACACGCCCGGCAGTTTAAGCCACCGGGTCCAGGACTCAAACTGCGGCCAACTACATGGGAGTCCATTGACATAGCTATTATGCCAACTACTGGTCCCCTCTAAAATTTTTTTAATCAATTTTTTAAATTAGCTGTGAAAAATAAAGACAGACTCACTTAAAATAGTTCCACCAACTTTTTATTTAGGCTCTAAGAAAAAAATTAAAGGTCTCCAAAGCAGGGCCTCAGCAAATATCTTGCCTGAGGAAGAAGAGAGAATGGTACCAAAGGGCCTGTCCCTTGATGGGGAAAGAAAGGCCTAGAAACCCGAAACCACTGATTGAGTGGGGCCAGCAGGTGGTGTGGTGGTTAAGGACGCTGGACTCCCATATGGCCAACCATGGTTCGAGTCCCAGACCTGGCGGCTTGCTTTCTCACTTTCCCTCTGTCTCTCGCTCACTTTGTCCTTCTCTGGTCAAATTAAAATAAAGTTAAATAAAATAATTCTTTAAAAAAAAACACAGAGAAGGGATCTTGGGTGTGTATTGTCTGTAAGAGTTCATTTTTGGTGGCAGCATCAGAAATCGAAGGTGACATCAGTTTTCTACTCTGGTGCATTCTCTGGGGAATTCCCCTTCTGTGCGGAAGGGCCTAGACATTGAAGAGGGAATTGGAGTAGGTGGTGTGCTCCTCTGGGGCCCTCAACAGCTTCTGCCTTCTCAGTCATCTGCGTCTGGCCTTGGTTATTATTAGAAACTGGATCCTTCTGGTTGGAAGTGTCACTTACTCAAAGCCAGTCATCATTCAGTCTTGATTCAAGTGAAGAGGGTCATCCCACTGATAAGAACTCTAAGACAGGGTATAGGGTCTTTTTCTCTGGAGATCTTATTCTCAGAGTGACAGGGAGGTGGTACCAGTGAGGTCAAGCTAGAGAAGGCATCCATTTTTACTGCTATACCAAAATACCTGAGGGATCTGCAGATGGCGTTGTGGTTAGGGCTCTGGACTCCCACATGACTGGGGCTGGTGAGTCCCGGCCTAGTTAGCTTGCTTTCTCTCTTTCCCTTTCTCTGTCGCTGTTTCTCTCTGGTCAAATTTAAAATAAAATAGTAATAGAAGAATATAAATGACATTAAATGATTAATTCTTAAAAAGATAAAAACCTGAGACCTTGTAATTTATAAAGAACAGACATTTATTTCTCTCATCTTTGTGCCTGAAAGTGCAAGATCAAGGCTCAAGTAGACTCAGTGTCTTGTGAGAATCTGGTTTCCCTTTCCAAAATGGTCCCTTGTTGCTGATGGTTTCTGTGCAGAAACTACGGAAGAGAAAAGGGGGATGATATCTGTGTCCTCATGTGGCAGAAGGGCAAAAACGTCTAGGCATGGTTTTCTCTAGCCCTTTTATGAGAATGTATTCGTGAGTGCAGAGAGGCCTCACCTCTTAATACCACCACAAAGGGATCAATTTGAACTGGAATTTGGAGGGGACACAGTCAGACCATAGCGGAGGGCAAGAAAGGCACAGACGATGCCATCGTGGATGAGAACTGAAAGGGCAGGGGGTTAGGCAGTGGAGGTGGAGTTGTGCCCATATTGCGAGAAATGACCCCCAACCTGAGGGCCCAGTTCATACACAGTCCCTCTCTTCATCCACTTTGCCTTCTCCCAGCTTCCCTTT